AATGACATGATGTAAGATCCAAAATATTTATGTAACACTTCTTTAACGTGCATAAAAAAATGTTAGAATTTTGTGGACAATTGGACTGGAAAAGATCATGCCTACGTCTTGATGGTGCTTGGGTGAAAAATCACTGAATACACTGAGCTTTAGAAAAAGAAGAAATGGCAAGTTATACCGAGAAGCAGGTGGTAGACTGTTTATTAACAGTCAACTTTGATTTTAATGTTGTTTATAGGGGGAATTCCTCATTTTTATTTTTTTGTGGTATGTGAAGTGTGAGGATTTTTTTCAATAAAAGTTTGTTAGCCTTTCATGTGGGTTTTTGCTAGGGGTGCACCGATATCATTTTTCAATACACCGATACTTTTAGTCAAATACGCGCCAATTACTGATACTTTGCACTGCGATTTGCGTCCATACAAAATGTATGGATGCAAATTGCATTGCAAAGAATAGCATGCGATTTGAACAGGAATGCGATTCCTCTCCAAATCGTATGCAGTTTCTTCACTGCTCCTGTGTGAATCCAGGCTTTTCATAGCCTGAATTCACATAGTAGCAGTGCAGGAAGGTTTCCCACAATGGAGAGTGGGAGAGAAGGGCATGTGGGGATGTATACTATGGAAGCAGATGCTCCATATTCTCAGCAGTACCACTGCGAAAATGGAGCATCTGCTTCCATACTATACATTCCCACACGCCCACTCTCTGCTTAGTATGGGATTCCTGTAAGGAGGTTTCCCGCACCGCTCCTCTGTGAACTCAGGCCATGACAAGCCTAGGTTCACACGGGAGCAATGGGGAAACCGCATTAAATTTGGACAGGAATCGCATTCCTGTTCAATAGCATGCTAATCTTTGTGGTGCATTTTGTATTGACACAAATTGCACTGTAAAGTAATGGTTTCCGGCATTGGCAGCATTTTTTCGAGTACTTGTGAAAATACTCGGTATCTGCAACAATACTGGTATCAGTGCATCCCTATTTTTTGCATATTCTGAAAAAAACACTGGGGCTTATATACTAAAGCTGGTTCACTCAAAATCTGGTGCAGCTGTGCACGGTGGGCAATCATCTTCTAACGTCAGCGTGTTCAATTAACCACTTGCCCTCATGAGGTTACCCCCCCCCCCCCCCCTTACTGACCAGGCCATTTTTTGCGTTACGGCGCTGCGTTACTTTATCTGACAATTGCACTGTCATGCAACGCTGCACCCTAATGAAATTTTACATCCTTTTTTCCCATGAATAGAGCTTTCTTTCGGTGGTATTTGATCACCTGTGCATTTTTAATTTTTTGCACTATAAAAAAAAAGACATACAATTTTGAGAACCAAACATTATTTTTGACATTTTGTTATTAGACATGTCTAGTAAAAAATTTTAAAAATCAAATTTTAGTCATAAAATTAGTCCAAAATGTATTCTGCTACATGTCTTTGTTAAAAAAAATATCCCAATTACGTGTGAATGAACTGGTTTACATGAAAGTTATAGCGTTTACAAATGGCGGTATATATACTTGGATTTTTTTTTTTTAAACTAGTAATGAGGACAATCAGCGACTTATAGCAGGACTGCTGGACTGTGGCGGGCATTCTGACACTGGGGGGGGGACTGACTTGGTGTCAGTCGCCCCCCAGTGGGGGACTGGGGGGACTGATATTCCCATTGACACAAATACAGTGATCAGTGCTAATAAAAAGCACTGACACTGTACTAATGGCACTGGGCAGGAAGGGGTTAACATATGGGGCCATCAAAAGGTTAACTGTGTGCCGTTTTACACTGTGTCCTGTGTTAGTGCTTCACTGTAAGCACACTGCTTTGCATGGCAGTGCTCCTCCTACCCGGAACTGCAAAATCACGTATATACAGTGGGGATCGAAAGTTTGGGCACCCCAGCTAAAAATTTGTATTAATGTGCATAAAGAAGCCAAGGAAAGATGGAAAAATCTCCAAAAGGCATCAAATTACAGATTAAACATTCTTATAATATGTCAACAAAAGTTAGATTTTATTTCCATCATTTACACTTTCAAAATAACAGAAAACAAAAAAATGGCGTCTGCAAAAGTTTGGGCACCCTGCAGAGTTAATATCTTGTACTGCCCCCTTTGGCAAGTATAAACAGCTTGTAAACGCTTTTTGTAGCCAGCCAAGAGTCTTTCAATTCTTGTTTGAGGTATCTTTGCCCATTCTTCCTTACAAAAGTCTTCCAGTTCTTTGAGATTTCTGGGCTGTCTGTCACGCACTGCTCTTTTTAAGGTCTATCCATAGATTTTCAATTATGTTGAGGTCAGGAGATTGTGAAGGCCATGGCAAAACCTTCAGTTTACGCCTCTTGATGTAATCCCCTGTGGGATTCGAGGGTGTGTTTAGGATCATTATCTGTCAGGAATGGACTGGCCAGCAATGGTGGGACTCACCTGCCTTTTGATCTGCAGTACCAGGGCTGGCCAGCGGGTGCTCCAGCCAGCAATCAGAGACTCAACCTTTCAGCCAGCTAACACCTGGAACTGATGATACTGGTGTATTTAAGGGATGGCCAGACTTGCAGGACTCTGCCTTGGTGTTGTGTTTGTCCTGGGCCCTGTATCTGTCCTGCATCCTGTTTCTGTTCCTTTGCTACCTGTTCTGATCCCTGGCTTGTGACCCTGACCATCCCTCTGCCTGACCCTCTGTACTACGCTGCTTGCTACCTGTTCTGATCCCTGGCTTGTGACCCTGACCATCCCTCTCTGCCTGACCCTCTGTACTACGCTGCTTGCTACCTGCTGAACCTGGCCTGTGTGACCCCGACCATTCTCCGCTTGCTCCCCCTGTACCTACCTGCCCAATTGATATTGACTCGGCCTGCCTGACGACGCTTGCTTGTATGTATTGTTATCTGTGGGTGGTTGGTTGGGTTTGTTTGCACTGTATTATGTTTAGTATTGCACTGCGTTTATGTTTGTATTGTTAGTGTTAATAAATTATATTGTTTATCACATATCTGAAGTCTGCGTTTCCCTGCTTCAGTCACACACCTCTGGTCATACCTGGGAGCCCTGACATTACACCAAGGCCAATCCTGACCAGAAGTGGCTGCACAGGGAAGCCATCTTGGCTTGTTGATGGGAAGGATGGATCTGGATGAGGTTGCGTATTTATATCTGCTAGTGTTTGATGACAGGGAGTATGCTTATCAAACTCTGAAGGAGTATACCCGGGATGAACTGCTAGAATGTATATGGCTCGCTCATGTTCTAGTAGATCAGGGCACAGAGTTTCTCTGAGGTGCAGCCTTTGATTGAGGTTTGTGCAGAGTTGGTTTCATCTGGTACCCCCGAATGCAGGGATGAATTTTTGCCACCATTTATTTTTTGTTTTTCTTTTTTTTTTTTACAGACCAGGTAGAGTCCCTGGTGTGGTTATTAGAGGATGATGTGGGTTACTTTCTGGAGCGTTATTCCACATGTTCACCACAGACACTCTAAGAGATTGTATAAACGCAGTGCAGTCATTGACCAGACAGGCTTTGTGTAAGCTCAGCTTTGTTCAACCCATACTGCAGACATGGACAGACTTGTTGCACCCAGCCTCAGTCAGCTTACAAAAACCCAGTCCTGCTTCTAACTCTACTCCTGTATTCCCAACAGCTCCTCCAGTTACAGCCCAGTATACTTGGCTATCTACCGCATGTCAGTACCCTGTTCCCACTCGCTGCACCTATCCTGCCTTAACCCTGTAAAAAAGCCCTGTGTAGCAACTGCTCCCTCTCCTGTTCCATCCTCCAGTTCTTCTCTGTCTCCAGCTGCTCCATTCGTTTGCAGACCTGCGTTTACTTGCAGTGCTCCAGTAGTTAAAACCAGAAAAAAGCGAAAATTCTTTCCAACCAATACCATCCTGCCAGTATCCAAACCGGTGAGCCTGCCTTCCGTGACTCAGCCTGAAGCCTCTACTCAGCCGGACATGCCTCTCTTCAGCCTGATGCCTGTACTCGGCCTGATGCCTGTACTCGGCCTGATGCCTCTCTTCAGCCTGATGCCTCTCTTCAGCCTGATTCCTCTCTTCAGCCTGATGCCTCTCTTCAGCCTGATGCCTGTATGCAGCCTGATGCCTCTCCTCGGCCTGATGCCCTCTCCTCGGCCTGATGCCTCTACTCGGCCTGATGCCTCTACTCGGCCTGATGCCTCTACTCGGCCTGAAGCCTCTACTCGGCCTGAAGCCTCTACTCGGCCTGATGCCTCTACTCGGCCTGAAGCCTCTACTCGGCCTGAAGCCGGCATTCAGCCTGATGCCTCTACCCAGCATGATGAACTGATCCAGCCTGACGATCCTATTAGGCCAGTTGACTCGATGCCCGCTGTTGATCCAGATGATCCGGTACCTGATTCCGGTGCCCTCTACCCTCACGCTGTCGTGCCAATTGACTCAGAGCCCGCTGTCGTACCTGGTGACTCGGTGCCCACTGCCTTGCAGATGACGCGGTGCCCGCTGGCGAGCCAAATGACCTGATGCCTGGTGACCCAGTGCCCGCTGTCATGCCTGGTGGGGGGACCCGATGCCCGCTGTCGAGCCAGACGATCCAATGCCTGGTGACCCGGTGCCCACTGCCTTGCCAGATGACGCGGTGCCCGCTGGCAAGCCAAAATGACCTGATGCCTGGTGACCCAGTGCCCGCTGTCATACCTGGTGACCCGATGCCTGCTGTCGAGCCAGACAATCCGGTACCTGATGACCCGGTGCCCACTGTCGTGCCTGTTGACTCGGAGCCCACTGCCTTGCCAGATGACGCGGTGCCCGCTGTCGAGCCAAATGACCTGATGCCTGGTGACCCGATGCCCGCTGTCCAGCCAGACGATTCAATGTCTGCCCCAGTGCCCGCGGTCATACCAGTTGACTCGGAGCCCACTGCCTTGCCAGATGACGCGGTGCCCGCGGTCGAGCCAAATGACCTGATGCCTGGTGACCCGATGCCCGCTGTCCGGTCAGACGATCCAATGTCTGACCCAGTGCCCGCGGTCATACCAGTTGACTCGGAGCCCACTGCCTTGCCAGATGACACGGTGCCCGCTGTCGAGCCAAATGACCTGATGCCTGGTGACCCGATGCCCGCTGTCCAGCCAGACGATCCAATGTCTGACCTAGTGCCAGCGGTCATGCCAGTTGACTCAGAGCCCACTGTCGTGCCTGGTGACTCGGTGCCGCTGCTCCGCCTGGGGGCCCGAGACCTGTCGCTCCTCCTGGGGGTCCAGCACCCGCCGCTCCTCCTGGGGGTCCGGGCGCCCGCCGCCCCGCCTGAGGGCCCGAGACCTGTCGCACTGCCTGGGGGTCCGGCGCCCGTCGCCCCGCCTGAGGGCCCGAGACCTGTCGCACCGCCTGGGGGTCCGGCGCCCGCCGCTCCGCCTGAGGGCCCGAGACCTGTCGCTCCGCCTGGGGGTCCGGCGCCTGCCGCTCCGCCTGAGGGCCCGAGACCTGTCGCTCCGCCTGGGGGTCCGGCGCCCGCCGCTCCGCCTGAGGGCCCGAGACCTGTCGCTCCGCCTGGGGGTCCGGCGCCCGCCGCTCCGCCTGAGGGCCCGAGACCTGTCGCTCCGCCTGGGGGTCCGGCGCCCGCCGCTCCACCTGGGGGCCCGAGACCTGTCGCTCCACCCGGGGGTCCGGCGCCCGCCGCTCCGCCTGAGGGCCCGAGACCTGTAGTTCCGCCTGGGGGTCCGGCGCCCGCCGCTCCGCCTGGGGGCCCGATGCCTGTCGCCCCGCCTGGGGGCCCGGTGCCTGCCGCTCCGCCCGGTGGCCCGCTGCCTGCCGCTTCGCCTGGTAGCCCGATGTGCCTCTGCCCGGGGTCCTGCCCGATGTGCCTCTGCCCGGGGTCCTGCCCGATGTGCCTCTGCCCAGAGTCCTGCCCGATGTGCCTCTGCCCGGAGTCCTGCCCGATGTGCCTCTGCCCGGTGTGCCTCTGCCCGGAGTCCAGCCCGATGTGCCTCTGCCCGGAGTCCAGCCCGATGTGCCTCTGCCCGGAGTCCAGCCCGATGTGCCTCTGCCCGGAGTCCAACCCGATGTGCCTCTGCCCGGAGTCCAGCCCGATGTGCCTCTGCCGGAGTCCAGCCCGATGTGCCTCTGCCCGGAGTCCAGCCCGATGTGCCTCTGCCCGGAGTCCAGCCCGATGTGCCTCTGCCCGGAGTCCAGCCCGATGTGCCTCTGCCCGGAGTCCAGCCCGATGTGCCTCTGCCCGGAGTCCAGCCCGATGTGCCTCTGCCCGGTGTACCGCTGCCCGGAGTCCTGCCCGGTGTGCCAGTCTTTGATATCCCGCCAGTTACCAGACCCGGGCGGTGGAACATTTTTCCCAGCTAGGACTGTTTGGAGCGTCCTGAGGCCGCTCCTTGAGGGGGGGGTACTGTCAGGAATGGACTGGCCAGCAATGGTGGGACTCACCTGCCTTTTGATCTGCAGTACCAGGGCTGGCCAGCGGGTGCTCCCAGGAATCAGAGACTCAACCTTTCAGCCAGCTAACACCTGGAACTGATGATACTGGTGTATTTAAGGGATGGCCAGACTTGCAGACTCTGCCTTGGTGTTGTGTTTGTCCTGGGCCCTGTATCTGTCCTGCATCCTGTTTCTGTTCCTTTGCTACCTGTTCTGATCCCTGGCTTTGTGACCCTGACCATCCCTCTGCCTGACCCTCTGTACTACGCTGCTTGCTACCTGTTCTGATCCCTGGCTTGTGACCCTGACCATCCCTCTGCCTGACCCTCTGTACTACGCTGCTTGCTACCTGCTGAACCTGGCCTGTGACCCCGACCATTCTCCGCTTGCTCCCCCTGTACCTACCTGCCCAATTGATATTGACTCGGGCCTGCCTGACGACGCTTGCTTGTATGTATTGTTATCTGTGGGTGGTTGGTTGGGTTTGTTTGCACTGTATTATGTTTAGTATTGCACTGCGTTTATGTTTGTATTGTTAGTGTTAATAAATTATATTGTTTATCACATATCTTAAGTCTGCGTTTCCCTGCTTCAGTCACACACCTCTGGTCATACCTGGGAGCCCTGACATTATCCATTTGTAGAAGCCATCCTCTCTTTAACTTCAGCTTTTTCACAGATGGCATCAAGTTACCATCCAAAATTTGCTGAAATTTTATTGAATCCATTTTTCCTTCTACTCTTGAGATGTTCCCTGTGCCACTGGCTGCAACACAACCCCATAGCATGATTGATCCAACCCCATGCTTAATAGTTGGACAGAGGTTCTTTTCATTAAATTCTGTGCCCCTTCTTCTCCAAACGTACCTTTGCTCATTCCGGCCAAAAACTTCAATTTTAACCTCATCGGTCCACAGAACTTGTTTCCAAAATGCATCAGGCTTGTCTATATGTTCATTTGCAAAGTTCAAACGATGATTTTTGTGGTGAGGACATAGAAGAGGTTTTCTTCTGATGACTCTTCCATGAAGACCATATTTGTACAAGTATCTCTTTATAGTGGAATAGTGTACCACAACTCCAGTGTCTGCCAGATCTTTCTGGAGGGATCGTGCATTCAAACGTGGGTTTTGAATTGTTTTTCTCACAATCATGCGAGCTGTTCTGTCTCTTATTTTTCTTGGTCTTCCAGATCTTGCTTTAACTTCCACTGTTCCTGATGAGTGCCATTTCTTAATTACATTCCGAACAGAGGATATTGACATCTGAAAACGCTTTGCTATCTTCTTATAGCCTTCTTCAGCTTTGTGAGCGTCAACTATTTTCAGTTTCAGTTTTCTAGACAACTGCTTAGAAGAACCCATGGTGCTGATTGTTGGGGCAAGGTCAGATGAGTCCGGGCATTTAAAACCTTTGAGATTGACATCACCTGGTCTTCCCAGACGATGATTGAGAACAATCCATGACACTGGCAGGTCTCAGCTTGGCAAAGGGGGCAGTGCATGCTATACATTCTGCAGGGTGCCCAAACGTTTGCAGACAACATTCTTTTGTTTTCTGTTATTTTGAAAGTGTAAATGATGGAAATAAAATCTAACTTTTGTTGACATATTATAAGAATGTAATTTGATGCCTTTTGGAGATTTTTCCATCTTTCCTTGGCTTCTTTATGCACATTAACACAAATTTTTAGCTGGGGTGCCCAAACTTTCGATCTCCACTGTATACGTGATTTTGCACACCCGGGCCGCCCTGTAGCAGCACTTCTGATATCGGATGGATGGGAAGCAGTTAAGCTTTGACAATAAAACCTGGAAGCTGATTGGTTTCTATGCAGAAGTGCATGAGATTCCGGGTGAACCAGCTTTAGTATATAAACCCCACAGTTTTATATACCATACCAATACATGAAACCAACAAAGAGAGTCCTGAGAGCTGAAAAAAAGCAGGTAATCCTGTCACTGTTTTTGAAATATATTTTGTATTTGAAAGCAAAATAACGTGATTCCCTCTATTTTGTGTTATATTGTTTGTCTGGAGCTCAGTGCTAGCAGTATCCAATACTTCATCTTATTAATAGTTTTTATAGTGTTATAGTTATAGTGTTTTAAATTAGTTTTCAATAGAGTAGTCAGGGGTTGGAACCTCTGTAATTTGTTATAATGTTGCCTATATCCCTGCCAGGGAGGTTCAATCTATGGATATTTAGGGAAAAGCCAAAAATTTTAATTGTCACCTGTACGGCCACAAAAGGGGAAATCTTCCAAAAGGGTCACTGGTTCAGTGACATCTGTCTAAGAGGGGTTTCCCTCATTTTGAAGGGATTTCTCTTAATTCCTGTTGTGTCTACCAATTGGACAAAGATGGCAAAAAAAGCTTCTGACGTTCCCCCAGCTCCCTCAGGGCAGGGGTTTTTGCTCTTCTCTATTCACAATTGTTTTGACATTAGATATACTTTAAGGAAATCCATTTTCTTTGCTACACACAGGTGTCACCAGCAGATTTACAACGAAAATCTTCCCACAACCAGTGTCATTATCTGCTTTCACAATGAAGCCTGGTCTACACTGCTGAGGACAGTACACAGTATTCTCGACAACTCTCCCAGAAGGATGTTGAAGGAAATTATCTTGGTAGATGACCTCAGTTTTCAAGGTAACCTCTGATATAGAAAAGAGTTAAAGTGCTATTAAAGGCAATTTAAAAAAAAAAAAACAGATATACTTACCTGCTGTGTGCAGTGGTTTTGCAGAGAGCAGCCCCAATCCTCCTCTTCTCGGGACACCCTCCGGTGCTCCTGGCCACTCCCACCTGATGAGTGCCCCAGAGCAAGGAGTTTGCTATGGAGGCACCAAAGCAGGCTCGCTCCCAAGCTGCTCCTCTGCCTGTCTATTCACACACAGAGCCGCAGCACGACCCGCCCCTCTCTCCCCTCATTAGCTCACTGGCTGCGATTGAAAGCAGTGGGAGCCAACAGTTCTCTGAGAGTCCCCAGAGAGCATAGGCTCCCATGCACATTGCTGGATCGCGAAAGGGCTCAGGTAAGTAGGGAAGGGGGGGAGCTGGATGAGCTGCTGCACTCAGAAGGTTTTTTACCTTCACAAGGTAAAAAACCTTGAGCCTTTACAACGACCTTAAAACATTTTAATGAGAGAAATACAGTGGATGACAAATTTTTAAAAATGCTAGTAGCCTGGCTGTCTCTGACCTTAATACTTTCAGAATCTCCTACCCCACAGCAGGTGTGGCGGTATGGAGCCAGAAATGGTCTTGCAGAGTCACAGCTCCTAATCTGCCTAATCAAAAAGCAATAAGGCCTTTGAATAAGCATATATTCAGGGAAGCTGCATTTTTAAAAGGAAAGATCGGCAGTGACAGCCTCCACATTCATAAAAAAATAAACCTCAAGTCTGCACATAAATACCATTACTGGAAATAATAACTAGATTTGCTGTCCGCCTAGCAAATTAAAGTGTATGCAAACCTTAAAAATGAACTTCTTGTATTTGTTCCCTTTTGGGCTGTTAAATATAGCATTGGAAGTGTTTTGTTATATCTGATAATTGTAAAATACTAGTGGAGCCTGTTAGAAATTCTGAGGTGTCCAGTGGCATACGCACCTTTTGTCATCTTAAGGACGCTAATCATCTACAATGTTAAAGGTGTTCTGTGGTCAAAGCATACACTTTAATTTTACAATATCAGCATTGTTAGGTACAAACGTATAACATCAGCATTGTAATAAAAATACAAATAATAGTTATTTTTGACAATCCAATAAATCTATTTTCATGTTGTGAGTTCTGCCTGTCTGCTGGACATCTCTTTTCACAACGTTTGGGATTCCTTGCATGCTTTGAAGCTTATCCACTTACTATCAATTTCTAAGGACTACATATCCCATGGTACCTTGCTGCCCACAAGCTGTGATTCTTGTACTGACTCCTCCCCTCAGCACTTCTGTAGTTCAGAAGGCAGGCTCTGTGAAATGTGGGACACAGCAGTGCCTGCTCACAGGACACAGTGAAGACATGTCACAGAATTCAAGGAAGTAAATGTGTGGAGATCTTTACAAATTACGTTTTCAAACTTCAAGATCATTCAGAATAGTAGGAAGAGGCTAGGAATAATTGAAAAACAGTGTAGAAATGAGTATATGATTTTACATTTTGACCATACATATGTTTTAACATCAGAGTTCACAGGAAATAAAAAACATATGTATTTTTGGAAATAGATTCCATAGACTGCAAGTTTTGGAATGAACTTCTAAGGACAATTATAGGAAATTATCATTGCTGGCTCTAAGTCACCGGTCACACTACGCGATTTGTGTGCAATTTCTGAAGACTTTATTGCTACGTGTGAAGATTTTCAACGGTTTCGCGCAATTTGCAGTGTGATTTTCATTATATTCTATGTATGTGGAATAGCAACAAAACTGCAGAAAAAGTAATGCAAAAACTACTGCAGCAAATCACAAATGTTAAGACACTGACATTCACATTCATTAGATGCAATTTCAGGTGCGATTTCAATTCCCAAATCGCATCGGCATGATCGGGCACTAAAGGTCCAAGCCCCAGGCCTTCATTACATAGTGAATTACTAAGATGAAGCAAGCATTTGGCCAATTAAGGTGTCCGTTTATTAATCAGTGATAAATGATTGCTGCTCAGTTCTCCGGCATTCTCGGAGAACACAGTTCTCCTGTGAATGCCTTTTATGAAGCAGTTCTCCGAACGAAGGGAGAACGGTCTACAAACGCTGGAGAACGGTCTACAAACTCTGGAAAACGGCTGATTTTACTATAATCTCGCGAGATTACAGTAAAAGATCAGTTTACTAAGCAGAGCTAAATTATCGCTGCTTAGTTTGTGGTCCCTCCGATTCTCCAGCTCTGGGCTTTAGAATCTGGAGGGAGAACACAGATCTCCAGTGAAAGGCTGAACATGTTCTCTGCTGATCTCCTGAGTGTCATAAACTGTGAATGACCAGAGAATAGCTGCAATCCTCTGAATTGCAGCTATTCTCTGTGTCATAAACGGACACCAAAGTCTGAAAAGTTTGAACTCCAGCCCTGGAAGCTTGTGCAGGGTCACTGACTCACTGGTAGTGAAGGTAGAGTCATGGGTCCTAAACCTTTAAAAAAAGCAATAGCAGTTTCTATATTTCTAACACCACAGATTCCCTTCAAAGCAAATCTGTGAATTGTTAGCAAGATCACAATGTTGAAGAGCAGATTCAAACAATGCAGATGTCATTCTACTCTTAGGCTGCTTTCTCACTTATCCATTTTTCTTCCTTTTTGCGTTTAAAAAAAGAGGAAGAAAATGCATGACCATTAAATCCTATGGACTCCTTTACACTGGTCATTTGCAGGTCTGCATTTTTGGTGCATATTTGGTGCTGTAAAAAAATGCACCAAAAATGCACCTTACCATTGAAATGAATGGAAAATGCAGCAAAAACACTGTGCGGTTTTTGAGTCACATCTTTTGTTCACAGGTTAAAAAAAGCACCAGAAATATGGCAAAAACGCATATGTGTTTTTCCATGTTTTTGCAAAGGAGCAGAGCAGAGAACTGCACATTCACATGCATGTGGTAATACATCAGGAAGGTCTGAATAGGCTCTAAGGCTGGCCATACATTATACAATTTTCTTGAGATTTTTGGTTTAGATTTATCAAAAACCATATAATAGGAGGTCAAAACTAACAACACTTTCAAATGTATCCAATTAGGCAGGCTCTTGCATTGCATAGTTGAATGTAAATCTAAAGGAAATTGGGCAGAAATTGGACAGAAAATTGTACAGTGTATGGCCAGCCTAACTCTTTAGTAACGTTTTTTTGGGGGGGGTTTTGAGAATGTTTGTTCCCTGGCTGTCATGCTGATGCTTTGTCTTCAATGCTTTCTGAGATGCTGACCTAGAACAAGTAGAGAGATTCAGAATTCTGACATTTTTTCTGACACTCATATAAAGTGCTTATTCTGGGCCTGTGAATTAAAAGTGCTTGATTTAGAAACGGTGAGGCAGCCAATCAGCTTCTAATTTCTGCTTGTTCAGTTGGAAGCTGATTGGTTTTTATGCAGAGATGCACCAGATTTTGCATTATTCAGTTTTACTAAATCAACCCCAGTGAGTCAGTGTTACTTCAAACCTGGAGTTACACAAAAAAAGCATTCTTGCAGTGTAGCCACCCCAGACAAAAAGGGGTTAAATGCTTCCAAGGTTTAGGCGTAAAGGAATAAACTGTGATACTTACCTTTTTCCTTGCTTCGGTAGGCTTTGTGTGCTTTCCTCTTCTATCCAAAGTTACATATTGAGGATGGGCCCTCACCATCCTCATGTACAATGCAGGGCTATTGATCCTGTATTGTACCTGATTAGGTCAGTGTGTGGCTGCTGGCCAACATACCTTAGAGAAGAAGGAATAGCCTGCCATAGTGAGGGATAAGGTAAGTATTTCCCTAAACTTAACAAGTATTTAAAGGGTAAGTCCATCCTATTGCTAACTAAACCTTTATCTGCTCCCACCCCCCTTCTAATCCCTATTCTATCTACAGTATGAAAGAAATATGCAAATACTTACCTATTCTGAGGGCGATCCACTCCGGTCACGTGATTAGCTGTCAGTGGCAGCTTCAGTCTGGAGGAGGGACAGTTAGCAACAGATGCCCCATAGTAAGCCTATGGGCAACATCAACACCTATGCTCTGCAGCTGGTGTCGGCTACCTCTCCTCTTCACTGAAGCTGACCTCTGGGGAGATCATGTGAATGGTCCAAATCGATCTCAGAATAGGTATACACGTCTTCCTTTCACAGGATAGATAGAAGGGGTTTAGAAGGGGACACATTTAAACTTAGTTAGGAATGGGCCATTGCAGCAATGTAATTCTCAGAGATTGGATTCAAATGTAGTGCAACTTTAGAGTGATTCTAACGGTTTTTATATATATTTTTTTTTTTTAAATAACAAAACGTGTCTATACTTACCTACTGTGTGCAGTGGTTTTGCACAGAGCAGCCTGGATCCTCCTCTTCTTGGGTCCCCCGCAGGCTCTCCTGGCTCCTCCCTCTTGTCAGGTGCCCCTACAGCAAGCAGCTTGCTATGGGGGCACTTGCTGCTCCATGTGTCCATTTACACATGGAGCTGCAGCTTACCCCTCCCCCATTGGCTGACTGACTGTGATTGACAATGAGGTGGCAGAGACCTGGGGACAGCCAAAGTTGTTATTCACATCGCTGGATTGCAGTGAAGCTCAGGTAAGTATTGAGGGGGCTGGGGGCACTGCTGCAGGTTTTTTACCTTTATGCATGGAATGCATGAAGGTAAAAAAAAACCTTCAGCCTTTACAACCACTTTAAGGAAAAATGTGAATATAAACAGATCTCTACGTACAAATAGGGTAAGATTGCTACCATGCTACCCTAGTTAGTTTTTTCATTCTTGTGCATTCTGTTCAGGTCACCTTAAGTCTGCTCTGAGTGAATACATTTCTCGAATTGGTGGAGTGAAGCTCATAAGAAGCAACAAAAGGCTTGGTGTTATAGGAGGTCGTATGCTTGGGGCAGCCAGAGCAACAGCGGAGGTTCTGGTTTTTATGGATCCGCATTGTGAATGCCACCCAGGCTGGCTAGAACCCCTGCTGAGCAGAATAATGAATAACAGGTAAGACAATTTCTACATAGAATTGCACTGCTGCCAGCCTGCAAAATTTGACTTGTGTAGTTATGTCAGAAAAACACAAAGTGGAGGTGTTGCTGTATTTCAACAATTCTGATCTTCATGCAAACAGTAAAATATTATTTATTATAGATACATACATTATACTGCAAAAGGTATTGGGACAACCCTCCAAATCATCGGATTCAGATGTTCCAATCACCTCCATGGTCACAGGAGTATAAAACCAAGCACCTAGGCATGCAGACTGCTTATACAAATATTTGTGAAAGAATAGGTCGTTCTCAGAAGCTCAGTGATTTAAAGCATTACACATTAATAGGTTGCCACTTGTGCAATAAGTCCACCCATGAAATTTCCTTTCTACTAAATATTCCACGGTCAACTGTTAGTGGTATTATAACAAGGTGGAAGCAACTGGGAACAACAGCAACTCAGCCACAAAGTGGTAGGCCACGTAAAATGATAGAGCGGGGTCAGCGCATGCTGAAGCACATAGTGCGCAGAAGTTGCCAGCTGTTTGCAGAGTCAATTGCTAAAGACCTCCAAACTTCATTTAGCCTTCAGATTATGTGCAATGCAAATAGTCGGATGTAGTGGTGTAATGCACGCAACCACTGGACTCTAGAGCAGTGGAGACATGTTATCTGGAGTGACGAATCACTCTTCTCTGTCTGGCAATCCGATGGAGGTGTCTGAGTTTTTTGGTTGCCAGGAGAATGGTACCTGCCTGACTGCATTGTGCCAAGTGTGAAGTTTGGTGGAGGGGGGATTATGGTGTGGGGTTGTTTTTCAGGTGTTGGGCTTGGCCCCTTAGTTCCAGTGAAACAAACTCTTAATGCAGGGCTCAAAATTTCCTGAGCTCCTCACCACCAGTTGCCCCACCCAGCCCTTACCCTGCCCAGCTCTTAATTCCGCCCCTAAACACGCATTTGTAAATTATCTCATGAAATGGCACTGTTAAATATTTCATGCAGAATGAAGGAAAGGAAGAAGGGAAATAGAATGAAGGAAGGAAGGAAGGAATGGAGAAAGGGGTGGAAGGGGTGGAAGGGAGGGAGGGAGAAAAGGGTGGAAGGGAGGGAGGGGTGGGTCGGTTGGAAGGGAGGGAGGTAAGACCCACATGCTCAGTCAAATGCATCAGAGCTATCGGCTGCTCTTTGTTCAATTTCCAACCCACACATCCTCTGAAGCTGCTTGGACTTGTTTTTGGGGGGGGCACAGGGGAAGGCAGAGCAGATCCAGCCTCTCTCCCCTCTTCTCCTATTGGTGCGGAAGATGGGGGGAGGGGCTGGCCACTGAGAAGCACACAGCTGGGGGGGACCCAGAAGGAAATGGAACATTCGCAGATGAACGGTGCAGTGGTGGGGGCAGTTACAAGGACTGATCTCCTGTATGGCTTTCAGTGAAGCAGCTGGAAGCCGCTTCTTCTCCACTCCCTCCAGCGGCTTTCAGCTGCTTGATAGAAAGCCATGCAGGAGATCTCTGCTTTTCACTGACCCCGCCACCGCCCCTCCCACACACCCCTAGTTCTGGTGCTACTCGACCCCACCTTAATTCCACTTGTCCAATGCGAGAGGGCAAGTGGAAATTTCAAGAGCTATCTTCAGGCATCAGCATACCAAGAAATTTTGGTCAATTTCATGCTCCCAACTTTGTGGGAACAGTTTGGGGTTGGCCCCTTCCTATTCCAACATGACTGCACACCAGTGCACCGAGCAAGGTCCATAAAGACATGGATGAGTGAATTTGGGGTGGAGGAACTTGAAAGGCCTGACCTCAACATCACAGAGTCCTGACCTCAACGCAATATAACACCTTTGGGATGAATTAGAGCAGAGACTGCAAGCCAGGCCTTCTTATCCGACATCAGTGCCTGACCTCACAAATGTGCTTCTGGAAGAATGGTCAAACATTCCCATAGGCACACTCCTAACCTTGTGGACAGCCTTCCCAGAAGAGTTGAAGCTGTTATAGCCACAATGGGTGGGCCAACTCAATATTGAACCCTATGGACTAAGACTGGGATGCTATAATGTTCATGTGAGTGTAAAGGCAGGCGTCCAAATACATTTGGCAATATAGTGTATGTAGCACTGTCATTTTTTGCAGTGCTATATATATATATATATATATATATATATATATATATATTGTACATTCACATCAGCGCCCTCAAGGAGCTTACAATCTAAGGTCCCTAACTCACATTCATACATACACATTCTAAAATCAATTTAGACAGGGGCCATTTAACCTACCAGCATGTTTTTGGAGCATGGGAGGAAACTGGTTCACCTGGAGGAAACCCACGCAGACACAGGGAAAACATGCAAACTCCATGCAATTAGTGTTTTGGTTGGGATTCGAATCAATGACCCAAGCGCTGCTAGGAGGACGCTTAGAAACTGTGCTGCCCCCCAGTCGTGGGACAAAGTAATCCAGTCCCCAGGGTAAAGATGCTTAACGGTGCCCCTTCCAGGTAGAGTAGCAAGTGAGGTGGGGTAAGAGTGATGTACACAGCACACTGAAAGATATGTAACATATGAGTTCAATAGCGGTACACATTCTATCGCACAGTGAAGCCAATCAGTGTGGCCATGGCAGCAGGGAGCCTGGCATTTGTGCAAGACACTCAGGTGGGGGGGAGAACTCCAAAAGATTGTGCCCAGGGCAAGTGCCCCTCCCCCCTTGTCCCAGCCCTGCTGCTCACACAGTTGAAATACTGTACATATATATGTGGAAGCTGTTTTACCTGCAAAGGATGGGCATTACTGTCCAACCAGCCCAGAGATTTACACAGCTCTGCCACTGCAGTAAAGTTACATAGCCCAGTTACCTTTCAGCCTCTTTCCTGTGACTGGGCAGTGAAAAAGAAGCAGCTGTTTTTACCTGTTGAGTTCCCTGTTTACAAAAGATTTCCTCTTGACTGTACATAAAATGCACTCTACTACAAAAACATCTTTGGGACCACACTACGTATTTGGCTAATTTTATTTTAACAATTCCTACTAACAAATATTTCACATGCAAACATAATTGCCATTTAATTGAAACGTATACTGTAAAACAGATGTTAGCAGTAAGCTCCAGTTTCTAAATATAGTTGTTCCCATCAAGTGCTATGGTTAAGATTCCGGCTTTGGTAAGAATTTGTGGTTTATGTTTTTCATTATTTGAAAGCCTCTATAAAGCCTTTTTACAGAATGATTGCACGTATGTACAGACAGGTTCTCCCTTCTGATTGTACCTTGTTGTTGCTGTATTTATTTTCCTATGCAATTGTATATTTTATGTGTCTTATGTGTGTGTTGCTTACCTCCCTTTGTATCAGCATGTAAGGCAGAACGGGAGATGATAGTGCTATATAAATCATCACTAATAAGATAAATGTGACTCTCAGTGCTAAAATAATCAGACGTTCTCAGGAAACACCAGATGTTTGTAGAAAATTTTATTTTCAGACTAACTTTCAGATTAAATTCATATACTTTGCTGCAGCATCCAAAATCTTCTACATAGTAAGTGTAGCTTCATCCAAACACATGTATGGTACAAAATTCATGAAACCCCTGCAACATTTTCATTGTTATTAATGACACTTTTTTTTGTTGAAAAATATACTTTATTTTATTAAAAATACAGCATATAAAATACAATATAATCAATCTCTGTACTTCGAATCAGCTCATCAATACACTATGTTACAATGCAGTTTCAATCACACAATAAATGCATGCACTCTGCAGTATGGTGCCTAATGTGTTGTGCAGAACAAAAGTCCCTGAACCGTCACATCGCCACATTACCCTAAAAGCATTGTATGGTCACTAAGGTACCACCAAAATATCTAATGGCGCAATGTCAGGTGTGCAGTGCCTGAGTTTAGACCCCTGTCCTGCACATCATACATGGCACCAAAACTAAAATAAACCATGCAACATTTCACAATTCAACAATCAAAGGGTGCGATGGGGGATAGGAAAGAGCGATAACAGAGGTGAAAAAAGAGTTCACAGGCCTTTATTGAAATGACAAAGACACACAGGGGAGAGTGGGGAAAGAGAAATCTTCAGACATTCTATTCCTCCTTAAAGCCCATAAGTTTATAGTCTCTAAGCAGACTGTGGAACAGTCTGCAACAGTCCTCAATGGACATCGTCTTCCTCTGGTGGATGAGGCACTTTCTGGCACACCACAAAGAGTCCCTAAAGCAACACATCACCCGCCAGGAGCCATCAATATCCTTCTGTGTAAATGTCCCACACAGGGCCGGTACTAGACTATTTTGTGCCTACGCAAGACCAGATACTTTCAACCCCCCCAAAAAAAAATAAATAAAGGCTGTAAATGCAGCCTGTGCAGGGATGCTTTCTCTTATTTCTTGCCAATGTTAGCTGTGTGGAGCCTGGGGAGTTGGGAGGAAGTGATGTTGCGCGCAGCTTCCACAGCACCACATTGGCTGAATACATTTTCTTGGATTGGCATAGTTATGAGGAGCCATCTCAGGGCGGCGTTTGGGGTTTCTGAGGAGCAGTGTCCGGGCAGTATGTGGAATTTAGGAGGAGCAGTGAATGGGGGAAGTATGTCAGGTCTATGAGGAGTGGTGTCTGGACAGTATGTGGAGTGTATGAGAAGTGGTGTCCAGGCAGTATCTGGGGTCTATTAGGAGCAGTATGTGGGGTCTATGAGGAGTGGTGACTGGTGTATGTGGGGTCTGTGAGGAGCAGTGTCCAGGCGGTATGTGGAGTTTATGAGGAGCAATGACTGAGGCGGTATACGGGGGACAATGAGGAGTGGTGTTGGGTGATATGTGGGGTCTATGACAAGCGGTGACTGGGGGCGGTATGTGGGGTCTATGAGAAGTGGTCTCTGGGCGGTGTGTGGGGTCTATGAGGAGCAGTGACTGGGCGCAGTATATTGGGTGTATGAGGATCAGTGTTGGGGCAGTATGTGGGAGGTATGAGGAGTGGTGTCAGGAAGGT